TCAATTGCCCGCAAAGAGCTTTTTGCCAAAAATATCTTATCTAATGTAGTTTTCTGCGCTGATTCCGAATATGCTATTGATTTTACTCTCAAATTGATCTATAATGATACAAACTGCGAAGTACAAACAGACTTTTAACAGTTTGGTGACATAGGACAACAATTTTGAGCGTTACTAGATACATGTGCACGTCTTTTGCCTTTTGTATAATACATCAAAAGATGCAGGATTTCACGCGCTATCAGAATACATGCTCACTTTTGTAATAGCTTATGTTTTTAGTCAAAGCAATGTTAAAAGTGAAAACTAATGCAGTTCAGAGAAATCTGACAATGGTAGTGCCTTCATTGTGCGAAATTATTTTTAATGAACAAATGAAATTCAAGATGTACATGTATAGGATTGTAGAGAATTCCATGCTTTATTAGAATGCATAATTAATTTTTCAAAAGTAATAATAAAAGATTAAAAATATTCAGTACAACTATTTTTCTCAGGCGCAGGTTTTTCATAAAAAAGTAAAATATTGTTGAAAAAATTTCTATACCAAAATTTAATATTACAAATTTTTGAGAATGATATTCGACGGAGTTTGATGTGCTCTTTCAAATGACACTATTTTCAAGCTAATCCATTACGCTAATTGGACCAACTTGCTCTATATATGTGGACACACTTTCTGAAAATAGTATATAATATCAATCGAAAAAATTCGGCGAAAGTGTACTTTCAATTCCATCAAAAGATAGCCCATAGTCGATGGTATCTATGGTAAAAAAAATCTCTTTTATAATTCTTGTTGTTATTTAGAAAACGAAAATTTACTGAAAAGTATCGGTCTGCAAAGTATTCCAGATGGAGCCTACCTCGTCCTACTTGTATCGTTTATATCTCCAGAATGACTCATCCATTTGAGCTGAAATTTTCACTTTCTTTCTAACTTTGTTAGGCCTATCTGCTGTAAAAATATCAGCCCAACTGGTGAGATTGATTGAGCAAGGATCTGCAGGAACTAGTCGTGCCTTAGGTGCAATGCCTCATAGGAATTTATTAAAAAATCTCAATAAATCTAGAAAAAAAAAGTTTCGATGGGCCTTAATGCAACGGATTTAGGATGAAAACTTAGGTTTTTCTGAAGTCAAAAAAAGGATTTTTCGACATTTTTCTGGTTCTCCACTATTTTGATGCATTAACTACCATTTTCTTATTAACAAATAATGTTGTTCCGCGTGTCTATATTGTCTCACAGTTAGAGCAGTCTAATCCACTGTAATCCTGAGGCACGGAGAAGCCTCTATTGTCAGAGGCAATCTTACCGTGAATCTCCTCTCGATTAATAGCTGCAACTGTGAAATTTTCAGAGAAAACTTGATTAGAACAGAACATTTACTGGAGAAAATTTCAAAGCAAATGGTTAAAATTAGTCGGAGTTATGAAACACTTTTCGACAAATCCCATCAATTCTTATGTCGAGACTATCCAAGGATTAATCAACTAAAAAACCGTTTGACATGGAATTTTTATAGCACGGAGCTCTTGAATGAGAGGTCTAACGCCATGAGATTTGTTTCCTATGCTGAAATATCTTCGTTTGAAGAAAAAAATATGTCGATCTTCTAGCTTTTCCGCATGAAGATCGATCAAGTCCTGATTGATTCTTGAGATCACAATTTAACATGCTCTATTTGTGGTCAAATGATGAAAGTCTAGGTGCCTTTTACATGGTAGCAGGACTTTTTGCGACTACTGTATATATAATAATCATTCAATTTTTTATTTCATTTTTTTTGTAGCATTTAAAAATGGGGGTGGTAAGAATATATGATAACTATTTTGTCTATTATACATGTTTTATTGATATAGGTGCTTTTCTTATACCATATTTTTGTATATATTTTCTTGTTGGAACACCACTTTATTTTCTTGAATTATCACTTGGTCAATTTACTAGTCGTAGTACAACGGCTGCTTTTACAATGTCACGTATGTTCAAAGGTATAATGAAAATATTTGATATTGATTTATGAGAAGATAATATATATTTTATATTAGGAGTTGGTTGGGCAACGGCAATTAATGCTTTTTTTGTTTCACTTTATTATAATGTAATTATTGCTTGGTGTCTATTTTATCTTTTTGCTTCAATGCGACGAACACTTCCATGGAGTTATTGTGGAAATTGGTGGAATACAGGACGTTGTTTAAATGCAGGTTGTATTCAAAAGAAAGAAGTTTTATAAAATTATATTTATATTATTAGATGGATCGTCTAACTCAACAGAAAATTTTCTCTGTCTTGCTACTAATCAATCAAATAATTGTTCATCACCTGTATTTTCACCTGAAGAATATTTTAAGTAAGATCTTTCAAATAGTAATTTTATTTTAACATGAATGAAATGTATTGATAGTAATTATGTTTTGCGAAGAAGTGATTCATTGGAAGAAATTGGTTCTCCAATTTGGTCTCTTACACTATGCTTACTATTAGCATGGATAGCTGTTGCTCTTTGTCTTGTTAAAGGCATTAAATCAACTGGCAAAGTAAATGCTAAATAAATTTGAATATTTTTTTGTGAAACACATTCTAAAGGGAGTGTTGAACCGTATATATGCAGAAATTTGGGTCCACTCCTCCATAGGCCATGACAGACGCTAGCTAGAGACCATTACAGACCGTGACAGATGCCAGCCAAAGACCATCAGAGACGATAGCTAGAAACCATCTCAGACTGTGACAGATATTATAGTATATCTTCATTTACAAAGTAATCAGCTCGATCGTGTTTCACATTTTAATCCTGTAGGAACTGCACTAACAGCTTTTTTTTAATCAATTTTCTTTTTCAGGTTGTTTATTTTACTGCATTATTTCCTTATGTAGTAATTATTGCTTTGATTGTTCGTGGTGCAACTTTACCAGGTTAATAAATTTATTGATCGAGATTCTTATAATTTTTTTTTTAAATAGGTGCAAAAGATGGAATTATATTTTATTTAAAACCAAATTGGAGTAAAGTTTCTGAATTTAATGTGAGTTATTAATATGAAAATGATTATTCAGGAATTTTAATGTTGTTTTACATTAAGGTTTGGATTGCAGCTGCTGTTCAAGTTTTCTTTTCCCTTGGAGTAGCATTCGGTCCAATACTTTCTTATGCTAGTTTTAATAAGTTCAAATCAAATTATCTTAAGTTGATTATTGATATTTGTTGTTTATAGAAATTTTTGTTTGATTTTGTTTTTTAGAGACTGTATTGTTGTTACAGTTTGTGATTGTTTTACTTCAGTGAGTTATTGATTGAGCAAGTTCAATTTTTATATTTAAACGAAAATAGGTATTTGCGGGATTTGCTGTTTTTTCAGTTCTTGGTTTTATGTCATTCAAAACGGGTTTACCTGTTGAAAAAGTAGCTCAAATTGGACCAGGTTTAGCTTTTATTGCTTATCCACAAGCATTATCAATGATGCCTATTAGTGTATTTTGGGCAATTTTATTCTTTATTATGCTGCTTACACTTGGTCTTGACTCGCAGGTTTTTATTTTGAAAATAAAATGAAGATTTATGTTTTTTTTTTATATTCAGTTTGCTCTTTGTGATGTATTAATATCTGGTCTACTAGATACTTTTACGAAACTACGGCGTTATAAAATATTTGTTGTAATTGGATATTGCATCGTTGGCTTTTTATTAGCACTTCCAATGTGCACACCGGTAAATAGAAAGAAAAAAGTAGTGATATGAAAATTTTCATTTACATTTTTTTTTATTGGTAGGGTGGAATTTATTTATTCGTATGTATATCTTTCATGTTATTAATTAAACTAAATCTATTTTATGCAGACATTACTGAATGAATATTCAGCTAATATATCAGTACTTGTTTGTGGATTCTTCGAATTTATTGTAATTGTTTATATATATGGTTGAGTATAAAAAAAAAAATACATCGAATATTTTCATTTTGTTTACATAGGTTTTAATAATTTTATGGAAGATATTCGTATGATGTTGAATAGACGGCCATTAGAACCTTATTGGTTTATTACTTGGTGTATATCAGGTCCGATTATCATTCTTGTAAGTGAAGAATGAAAAAATTTGTATTGATAATGAAATTAAGTGTTTATTTAGATTGTTTTCTTTGCATCATTAATACAATTTCAACCACCAAAGGAAGGAAATTATGTATATCCACCATATGCAAATGCTATCGGTTGGCTTTTTGTTTGTGCATCGCTTATATTTATACCTATTATTATGATCCATGAACTTATTAAAGCATGGAAAGCAACAAAGAATTATCAAAATCAAGTAAGAATATTATTTCCATTATTTTTATTATTGACTTTTTTCTTAAGATTTCGATTTATATGCCACATTACTTACGAATGTTAACATATGCAAGTCAACCACAGGATGATTGGGGACCAGCAAGAAAAGAAAATCAATGTGATCGATATGAAGCACTGAATAAAAAAACAACAGTACCTATTCATATTGATAATGCTATTGATTCTCAAATTGACTGACGTACACGACTATAAAATTGTTTATTCAGACTAATAAACTTCGTTTTAGTGGCGCGACCAGTAATCTGGTCTAGAGGAGTTTAACTCTCAAAATTTTTCAAAATCTGTCAAACATAGTGTGAATTTTTTAGGACGTGCCATGCTTAATGTGGATATTTCCTTTCTTTCATGATTCGTAGTCATACACTCTTCAAACGTTTTCATCCCCGATTAGTGGAAATCGAAAGATAGTGGAAAACTAGATTGTCAGGCTTGTCTAAGAGTGTGAGATAGCAAATTTGCAGATGTAGGTGTGGGTGTGAGTGTGAGGTGGGCATGCGTTGGATGTGAGTGTGTGGTGTGGGCGTGCGTGGGTGTGAATGTGGGTGCGGTGGGTGTGAGTGTAGGGTGTGGATGTGAGATGTGGGCGTGGCTGCGGAAGTTGCGTGTGGATGTAGGGGTGTGAGATGTGGCTAATTCATTCATACTAACACCCACACCCCACACACATCCACGCCCAATTTAATGTTATATTTGATTGATAATCACATAGTGAACATTTGTATATATATTCAGTTGTTTCATTTTGATTATTTAATGTTGATGATGATTGAATAAAATCATCTTCAATATATTCTTGATTAATTACATGATATCCATTATCATTACCTGAACTTATTATTGATGATGTTTCGGAAGCATTATTATAGATTTTATATAATGGATGATTAATTCGTTTTTCATCTGGTTCTATATGAAGTACAGATGCCGTTGGTTATATATGAAAATGTTTAATATGCTAAAAATAAAGGATGCGTGGATAATTCATTTATACTAGCAGCCACACTCCACATCCACACCCACAGTGACACCCACACCTAGGCATGCACCGAAACCCGAACGTTCGGGTTCGGGTTCGGTCTCGAAGGTCGAGTTCGGGTTTAGTTTTCCTTGCAGTCATTTTTAGTCAGCTTGTAAAAAGAATCGGATGTCATGCATAAGCAAAAGAGTTGCCAACTTTATACCAACCAATCTCAAATAGTAGAGTAATTGATCCAAAGTTTGAGGATTTGCAAAAATCCTAAAAGTGAACTATCTCCAGAAATACTGTATTCTGAGCCGAAACTTAGGTAAAGTTAAGATTGATTTCATGATTCCTCATGCATCCAAAGAACTGCTTCAGCAATTATCCATATGATAAAGATGAAAGGAGATTGAAGTTTCAAAATCGATGATTTGGCTCATGTTTTTACGGTAGCTTGTCATAGTCTTAGAGCTAGGGGTGGGAGATTATTGTTCTCGGATGACGATCTGGGAACGATAAAGTGAATGTCTACCATCATCAAGCCAGTAGCTTAGAGTCTTCAAGTCCTACTATTGGGGGATTCCCTTGGGTCTTCAAATCCTACTATTAGAGGGTTCTCTTGGGTCCTCAAGTCCTACTATTGGAGGTACCCTTAGGTCCTCAAGTCCTACTTTTGGGGAGTACCCTTGGGTCCACAAGTCCTACTATTAGGGGGTACTCTTGGATTCTCAAGTGGCACGAGATGGGGATGCCTTCTGGTTCTCAAGTGCTGCTATAGCGACATACTCTTGGGTACTGATGTGACACTCTAAGATGTATCCTTGGATTCTGAAAGACCACTATGCGGAAGTATGCTTGGGTAGCGAAGTGCTTCGGGAAGAGTCGTCTTTTATGTGCGTGGTCCTGTAGTTATCGGCGCATTGTGTACGATATTATTGGAAGTGTTGGTACGTTGTTGATGACGGGATATTTGTTCGCAGGAGACCATCGATGTCAGTGGTCTTCTGGTTGTTACGCGATTACTGGGCCGAATGTGTTAGTGCGATCTCTGAAAGCAATGGGACAGGTGAAAACGCAAAGCACGATAGTAAGGAAAGATGCAGTAGATGTTGGTGGTTATTAAGAGTAGTGGGTCGGATTATAGGAACGCCCTAAAGGGCTATCATTTTAAAATCCGGAAGTGCTTATGAGTCATCGATACTTCGTTTACAGTTTGAGTGAAGTTTTATGATATAAAGGAGCTGGGATTCGGTAATGTGCTGCCAGATGAAATACCGGTTCTATTTAGAAGGGTATCGAAGAACCGTTGTTTATGTCCCAAATGGTAATTACACTGTCAAAATAGTTTTTGGTTGGAATTCATTTTTGCAGATATCTCTGAGGGCCAAGCCTGAACATGTAACTGAAGCCAAAGCCTGCAGAAATAATTTACAAGCCATCAATAGTCCTAGTTTCACACTAATTAACGAACATTACTTTCTTTTGAACTCAAACAATGTTTTTTATACTAAAACTGATCTTTATAATTCAAAAGCAAAGTAAAATTGGCTGACAAGTATGGCAGTTGAGATAAAAGCGATGCATTGGGCATCAAGTTTTAAGTTACAAATGGTATGATACGATCAGAAAAATAATATCGAACCAGATGTTTGAATAAAAAAGCTCGCTGGAACACGCGTACAAAACTATAACTATTGTCCACTGTAAAAATCATTATGCGTAAGTTTCACCCAAGTAGAACATTTTTCGAATATATCTACAGAGAAGGCTTTGAATGTCCAGGACCTTCCTACAGGTCTCTACAAAAAAAAACACTCTGTATGAAATAAAACGTTTTTCAACGAATCCAAATAGGATTTCAGAGTGTTCAGGTCAAAATCTGTTTTTTGAGGCCTTCGAAGACTGCTTCGCATCTTTCTTATGGTCTTACCCACTGCAAATAAAAAGCATCAGCTTTGAAAACAGCACCTTCAGCTCTATTGAACTCTAAAGTTCTCCAACAGAAAGGTGATGGAAATTCTTCATCCACTCTGGAAGGTGACATGGAGTATGAAACGTCCAGTTGAGCTATTACAGAAAATAAACTAATGAAGAATAATCAAATGGGTCATTGTTGACCTTGAGACACAAAGTGTAGATTCGCTATCATGAAATACTTGGTCCACGATATAACACATCTTCTACACGGCACATTCCGAATATTACATGTTGTTTTCTCTTTTTTTTTCTTTATAATTCTTCATCACGAATATGCTTAAAGCGTTCTGAAACTATATCCATCAAAAACTGATGCTATAATACTAGTATCCACA